GGACTAACGCGCTCTTTATAGTGTCAGATGCGCCATTTTCATAGATTAGATTAAAAAATTAACAAAATTTCATCTGTAAAATATTTTGTTTCATAACCCGAATAAAGTAATTTATATTTCTTACTAGTTTTATTTGTAATATGTGAAGTTTTATTTCACAGTTTTAATTTCATTCTGTGGGTTGTTAAAGTACGTATATATGTGTTTTTTTATTTTAGTTTGATGCTGTCTCTTATTTTATTCTATTAATTTTATTTAACTTTCTTATGTTCTGTGTCACTCTGGTTTTGCATATGTCCTGAAGTTCATTAGAAGTTGCCTTTAAAATTTCTATGTATTTTAATTGTATATATTTCTGTATTTCGATCAACGTACATTCTGCTTAATCTGATTTATATTTAAATTTCAAACAATAAGTTAAGTTTTATGTCAGTTCCAAAGTTGTTCCCAATTTTAATGATTATTAGTTTTATGATTTTACTTGATTCCGTATTTAGGTTAATTTTGTATGATAGTTGACGTATATCAAGATTATACGTTTAACGTTTTTACTTAGTGCTGTAAAAATATTATGTTATTTCTGTGTTTTAGTTGATTGTTACTTTATTTCATTTAAATTTGGTTTTCTTTTATTTAGTTCATTAAGTTTTATTTCCTTCCATTTAATCGTATATTAAAGTCTTTAGGTTTGGTTTAATTAGCCTTTGTTGTGATTGTGTGACTTTAAAGATTGTATGTGGTTTAAAGATTTAACTTGTACTAAAGCTTTCAATAATAAATGTCAAATATGTGGCCCAGGAAGACCTTAAGGAAGGAGTGACTTGTCACAATACGAAGAATTACTAATTTCACCCTTACATAACTACTAAAGAATATCTTTATTTAGATATGTCAGTTGAGCTGTTCTAAATTCTAAGAGGTGTAATTACTGATATTCTTCTAAAACGGATATACGAAACTCATATACTTGAAATAATATTCTAGCTTAGACACATGTTACAAACTCTAATGTTTGTGTTGTAAGACTTTTATTTGCTTTTTTGTCATGCCCTCCTCGAGTGAGGCAATACTAATTTGAAGATGGTACAGAGACTTTTAAACATTCTTATGAGTTGGGGTTTACTTCTCTTGAATATGTTATATGAGAAGCATCATTTAAACGCAAGTAACCTAAGGATTGTAAGATACCAAACTAGAACTTTGGTCTAATCAGATAATGTGGCATTATCATTCTTGGTGCTCTGACTTTTAACTTGTATAAACGTGATTTCAACGTGCTCCAACAACCAGTTTTGGTCAATACCAAATATAAAAGCCTACCTGCTTATATATAGATTCCAGCGTACTTCTATTCATGAATATTTCGTTGTGTTTGGCTGCTTTTGCTTTGCTATTCTTCTTTGTTTTATTGTTTGTAAAATAGTTAAATAACCTGCTATATTTCGAATATTTAAAATTGTTTATAACAAATCATGCACCACAAAGGAATAATATGTAGCTCATCAGTTTCTTTTCTTTCAGTCCACCAGTACTAACTTAGATTATACTCACCAATGCTAGTTAGATGTATATAAGCTATTAAGTGCAGTCACTGAAGATATGTAACTATAATGCACAAATTAAAATATATTGCATGTTATATATATGATAATAATAAATAAGCTTGTACGAACCTTATTCTACAATAAAACATGTACTTGCATTTTCTAAACTAAAATTCTTGGTAGCATGAAGAGATGAGGGACTTTCAGTTATGTTTTTAACGTCAATTGATTAAACACGAATATATAAGTTTAGTAATGCATTTGTGTGTTGTAGGGAAATATTCCACTGACCGAAGGTCCCGGTGTAATAATCTATAGAGGAACCTTAGAAATATTGAAACTTCAGCAATCTCATATTGGGGACTATACGTGCAGGGCCAGAAATAGTGAAGGAAGTATTTCAACTAAAACCAAGGTCATTACTGCCGGTAAGAAACATATTAACGAAACTTCGAATATAACGACAAGTTTCAACCCAACGTTTGATATAGATAAGTAATGAAAGCCTAATTTCTCATCACGATTTCCGTTTTGTAATTATTTTTATCTAAAAACTCCATCCTTTATCTATAATATTAAGCAAAAAAACGTTTTTATTTTACATTTTGGGACAATTTAGAAATGTTGGATCATTAAAAAAATCCAGTGTTACAAAATGCGTACTGAACCAAGATAAGGAAATTTTAATTCCAACATAACTTAGTTTCTTATTATATCATTCATGGAGTTTGTTATTCGTCATTGCTCTTTCATATATCGCTTATTTGCTCGAAAATCCCCAGTTGAATATAACCGAAAATTCAATTTAACGTCTTAAACTGTACAATTTTTGGCATCTTTTTGTTTCCAGATTTCAGCATTCTTTATAGTGCTTTTATTGTGATAAAACAAGGAAACCATAGGCTGTGTTGTTGTTTTTTATTACACACGCAATGTTTCCCAGAAGGCTTTCTCCATTTACTTTTATATGACTGAACCATAAACTGAGCACTACTACAGTAGCTGAGAAGTACCACACATACACACTTCTAAACAGCACCCGCTGGTAATAAATACTTTTAAGGCTAAATGAAAATTAATGAAGCCCACTCCATTTCAGTGCCGTGATTGCTTCAAATACTTAACAGCAAGTTTTATGGAATCCGTTACGCTGATAGTTATCGACATTTAACGATTTGAAGGGTTTTGACACATACATTTATAGCAGACATATGACATTGTTCTTGTTACGCCATCTATTAATCAGTTGCTCATTGTATTCAATCAAAAGGATTTTAGAATATTTATTATATTAATTGAAGTGCAAAATACTTAACACTATAAAAAAATCAATGCACGTCAAACGACTTTTTTAACAAACAATTTTTAAACAAACAGAAGCATCAAATTTTCAGTTCTTCAGTGCTATGTGGGGCACAACTCCAATATGAGGTTTTAACGTACTTTTTGTTAAAAACTAATCATAAGACTAACCATCACGATATGGTATTATTGAATTTGTTTGAAAAATCGCTTGTGTGTTTACGTTGATTTTTAGTAAATTTTGCACAAAAACACAAAACACTCGACGAATCCCAGTTAATAAACCAACATTTCAGTTAAATACAAAATAGTCTTAATATTAACATTGACTATGAATGATAATAAAATATATATCAGAATGACACATTGTGTATATATATATAGATATACATACATAAACCTAGTCAGATGCGGTTCACTTAAACTTGTCCTTTCTAACTTTTAACTTAGTCCTTGGTAATTCATTGTATCTAGCTTGTTTGTGTTGATCAATTTTCGTCCTCCATGTAACTAAGGGCTTCCTTAATGATACTTAATTATCTCAATTTCTGCGGCATTTTATCGCTATTCTTTTCGTCGGTCGTAAATCACTATTTTATATGTAAGTCACCGTCCTCTGTTATGCGTTTTATTGAGGAAATTTAGTGACACGTTTTATATTCAAATAGTAGTTCAACAACTTGTCCCTAGGGCAAGTGTGGTTAAGTTGTTAATATGTTGAACTGTGGATCGCAGGGTTCAAGGCAGGTTTGAGCCACGATACGCCACTGAATGGGCTCTGCATTTCCAGCTATAGATACGTTATAAAAGTGGAATGAATCGCGGTGTTAATCATCTTATGTTTATCTTCTAAACAGCAATAGCAACGATATCATACATTCCATAAAATATTTATAACAGTTATTTTAAGTACTTAAAATCTGTAGTGGTTTCTAAGTATGAGAATTATTCGTTTGTAACGAACCAGATAATAGTTTGATGAATTTAGTGCGTTAACTTCATATATTCAGTTCAAAAAGATTGTAATGAAACAGTTAAAATGTTTGTTGTTTGATTTTCATGGCTATTCTAATACATACAGTTTTTCATTCATAATCCTGTACGTTGCTTGATCTTGTGCTTCTTCCATGAGATTCAACAGTTCATGTTTTCTCTAATCTCAGACTAAATGGTTTTATTTTCATACACAATGATTAATTATCAAAACCATCACAATGTGTTATGTCAGTTGCTTTAAATTCATATTGTTTATTAATCGTATATAAAAAGTTCTTATCTCGTTCCTTACTCCGTCTACAAAACACCCATTTGTTTTATCTGTTTCTATAGGTTCAGCTGTTATCACTGTTCCACCACAAAATATTACCAAGCTGGAAGGGGATAAGGCGGAATTCATCTGTGAAGCGAAAGCGTTCCCTGCAAATATCACTCACCGTTGGTTGTTAAATGATAAAGAAATCTATCAAATAAGGTGGTTGGCACCTCGTACTGTAGTCAGGAGGGACGGAACACTCTTTATTAATCCTACCTCAGCGGAGGATTCTGGACTTTATACTTGTGAAGTGTTTAATGGGATAGGAACACCGGAAAGAGCATCGGCCTACCTAAGTGTCGAATGTAAGTTGGATTGATCATTGTGACTGAATGTTTTTATTGACATATTGAGTGAAAATGGGACTAAACAAAGAATTAAGTGATTTCATATATTTCTCCTGTGCAGTTTTATTATCACTTTCAATTGTATCCAGTAATGAACAAATATTGTTATTATTGTATCTGAAATGAACTGGTAAACTAAAATCCATAGACTGTATCATTTTTCTGTTACCAGTTTATTCATGTTACTAAGTGAAAGAACAGATACCAGGCGTCAGATAATACAAACACAGATATACAAGAACAGATTCCAGGCGTCAGATAATACAAACACAGATATACAAGAACAGATTCCAGGCGTCAGATAATACAAACACAGATATACAAGAACAGATTCCAGGCGTCAGATAATACAAACACAGATATACAAGGCTACTCATTGCATCAGATCATAAAAACAAATGTTTAGCATCAGGTGTACGTAGTTATCCATCGTATCAGATAATAGAAATACACACACTGCAGTACGTATACACTGTTACTCATCGTATCATCGTATTTTTTATCACCACACTGTTTTTTTAAATATATAGATACAGCTTAGTTGATTTCTATTAGAGAATGACTCGAATGAAAAGTACAGCTTTGAAACGATCCTTCTTTATATATTTTTGAAAATCATTTCAACCAAAATAAAATAAAAGTATACATATTGTCTTTGCCTTTCGTGACGGAAATCACATACAAGCTTTAGAATGCATGCTGACAATTATCCAATATGAACATTTGGAGCTTCCCCAACAAATAGAAAAACAAAAACATATGAAAACTTGATTGTAGAAGTTGAAGCGCATACTGGAGGAAGTTAGACACTTGGTCATAACCATAGAAAAAACTAAACGACCTTTACGTTCCAGATAATAATAAAAAACTTTATTTCAGCCAATGTTTCTCCATTGCAACTTTATCAGAGCTAGTAGCACAAAATCTTATTCAAATTAATATTAAGGTTAACAGGAAAATTGGTTAAAATACCGTTGATATGAGTAAAAGTGTCGGTGTTAATTTCATTCTTTATAACATGTCATCCTTAAGTTTATAAAACATACTCAGATAACACATGAAAAAGCCCTCGCGTGACGGTTGCTCATGTCATGTACGCAAATTGAACTCCTAGGAAACTCGTTCGAGAGAATTTAACTAACATAAAATTAAAAGACGAGAAACATTAGGGAGTGTAGTAATAGCTTTGTTTAAGTTGGATTTCACGCAAAGCTACGCTAGAGCTATCTGTCCCTAATTTAGTAGCGTAAGACTAGAAAAAAGGCAGGTAGTCATCACCACCCACCACCAACTCTTGGGCTACTCTTTTACCAACGAATAGTGGGATTGACCGTCACATTATAACGCCCCCACGGCTGACGGGGATTCGAACTCGCGACCTTCAGATTGCGAGTCGAGCGCCCTAACCACCTGGCCATGCCAGGCCTGTAGTAACAGCATTAAAAGACTTAATTGCTGATTAGGCTAAAGCTACTCTTTTTTTTTTTTTTTCTCTTCTTTTTTTTCCATCTGAAGTTGTTTAAAAAAAAGGAGGAAAATAACAATTACAATAAATGTATATGTATACACAAGGGAATCATTAAGAATATTATAAATCTATAAATATAAACAATTTTCATGCTTTTATTTGTTTTTGAAATAAGTCCATTGTTGGGTTAGCAGTGAGTATATAAACACTAAAATTCGGGGTTGAATTCCCCGCGTTAGACATAATTCAGATAGCTATTGTGTAGCTAAAGAAATCATTCAACATTTAAAATATACGAAAAACATTATAAAGTATTAAATGTCTTAATATTGATAATGAAATGAATAAAAATCCTATAACCCGAGCGCTTTCGAAAGATGGACCTTTCTTCTTCAGGGGCAAACTGGGATAATGAATGAATAATGAAAGATATTAAATGACAGAAATGTATACATATTTAAAGAATAATGATCGAGTATTTGGTAACTTAAAACAGTATTAAACAAAGTTTCTAAGAAAGAATAGCTAGCTCCAGATATGAAATATGTTTCTGTCATATCTAACAAGTAACCTGATAAGCGGGTTTATTCGTACGTGATTAGTGGAGTATCATGAAGGTTTATATTCTTATTACGTACCTACGTATTTTAAATTTATTCATATGTTGTTTATAGGAATACTATTGATAGTGATAATAGGCTGGTTGGTTGGGGCTTATTGTTGCAAAGCTACGGGGCTATCTGCGCCAAACAACCAGTAAAAAAATAATACTACAAAAACTAAAATGAAAAGAAGCTAAAGGAAAAGTGAACTGTACTTTCACATGATTCAAGGTGAAAAAAATACAAATTTTATTTGATGTCTCAAAGAAACAATAACTCTAAAGCACACTTTAATGCACAATGAAATCCCTACAGTGAGGATTAGGAAACGGATACCAAACACAGCAAGTTAATATGGTGAGTTTGTATAAGTAAATCACGTCCATGAATGCTTTCTACTGAATAACTCTGTATTTTCTATGTCTGAAGTCCTGTAATCGAAATTTCACCAGAATTACACATTTCTATCTTCTGTATAGTAGAAGTATTCAGCAATGGTATACTTTTTAAGTAGAAGTATTCAGCAATGATATACTTTTTAAGTAGAAGTATTCAGCAGTGATATACTTTTTAAGTAGAAGTATTCAGCAATGATATACTTTTTAAGTAGAAGTATTCAGCAATGATATACTTTTTAAGTAGAAGTATTCAGCAATGATATACTTTTTAAGTAGAAGTATTCAGCAATGATATACTTTTTAAGTCTTCCGTCTTAGGAAATTTCCTTTACGGAATATCAGGATAAAAACTCTGTAATTTTATAAATACAGCGTTTAAAATACAAGCTGATAATCTTGGTGGCAGTAGGGATCTTCATCACCATTTTCAGCCTAGTATCTGTGATTTTTGAGAAAGCAAAATAGTGACATCGAGTTTTGAAAAATTCTGTTTGATCCATTTCCAAATTACCCCCAAAAATATAACTGAAACTTAAGATATCGAATTTTCTGTTCATACACGTTTTATTAACACTTGTTTCGGATAAAATAACTCTCAATAAACCCATTGTTGAGATGATGGAACTAGTTATATTTCCCCTCGTGTCTGTATAGGAAACAAACAAACAAATCTGTGATATTTGTACAATTTGTTACTCACTTTAGCCGAAACAGTTAGAGTTGGAGGTGCCACTGGACGACAAACACCAGGGTACAAACTATTGCTGAATTCCGGGTTAATTGCTCTACAGTACCCATTAATAATCTTAATTTAAACATTTCAAAACATATACTTGTTTTATTTCATAATAAGAAAAAGAATTACAGAAAAAGTTACGAATGTCAGTGTTTATAAAAAAGGTTGTAATACAAAATAATACACACCCACGTACGCACACATACATATATAGCGAGAATATTTCGTAAATAAGCATATAAATTATTATTTCCTCTTATCTTCCTTTCATCAACCTTCGTTGTCAAACGTTATTAAATTGAACCTACGACGTTTTCCAAGTACAGAGTTTGTTAGATGTCATTCTCTTTATAAACAAAATTAAACTTAAAGATATATAAACCAAAATTTTCGGGTAATACAATATGATATATTTTACATAAAAGTTCATAGCACTGGAGTCATCGACTTATTATATTAAACCCTCGCACAAGAACTGTCAGTCGAATGTATTGATACAGTATACTATTATATAAATACTCTCAAATGGTATTTTGTGTACTTGAAATTTAATCTATATCACAGTCACACCATATTTGGTCGAGCCAGGCTCAGAGTTACAAAACATTACATTGGTTTTTATATATGTGGATAATTCTTTATTTATTTCTTCACAGTTCTATGTTTAAACAATGTAAAGATTCTAAGTGAGTCAAATGAAAATTTTCTGTAAAAAAAAAACGTCCTAAGAGATTGTTTAAAGTTAACTATATCCAAATTGTATATAATATTTTCTTGCAATTTTGAATTGTTATAATGCTCCTTTTACAGATCCTGCGAGAGTAACTTACTCTCCAACGATCCAGTATCTTCCTCTGGGATTATCTGGGGTTATTCGTTGTTATGTGAAGGCTAGTCCCCCATTTATTCATATCAAATGGAGTAAAGACAATCGTCCTTTTGATCCGAAAGCCCATCATGGAGTGTTCAGTTTAAGTAACGGATCAATACAGATCCAGAGAGTGGTCTCCGAACACCAGGGCTGGTACATCTGTACACCATATAATTTGTATGGCACAACTGGCAAATCAAACAGGATGGAAGTATTAGTTCGAGGTAAAATAATTCGGTTCTACTAAATATACCTTGGGTTTGTATCTATGTACATATGATCTATCAAAGATTACAAACATTTCAACTTGCCTGTTAATAGCTCAGACCTAATTACTTAAATCACATTCTAACAGGAACTTCATTATTTTTAACATAGCATATTTTAGATGTATGTTACTTTTTAAACTTTAATCCAAAGGGATGTTTATTATATATTACTCTAATTATTACTCACTCAAGCTACGAAGAGGGTTAGAAAATACATATGAATTTTCATGTGTGTTATAAGTGAAGATTATTAAAAAGTAAATCTAAAAATAAATACAGTACGTTCAAAGTAGTAATGATTAAATATACAATATCCTGTTACTTAAATATTTATATAAAAACACTGATTGAGGAATGGCATCAGGTTAGTAAGGACACACTTGAGGTTTAATGATAAAAAGTAAGAGTACATGCGAGTTACACCTCTTACTTCTATATCTTCTTCAACCAACTAGTAACAGAATTAAAGTATACCGTGAATGTGTTCTCATAATTTTCGTGTTATAATAAAGAACCTTCATAATCCTTGGTGTATGAAATAAAATCACAAAGACAGTATCCAAAATTATATGTACACAATAAGGAAAATCTCGTGTTTTATAACACACTATAATTTGCCGTAAAACAGCTCAAAGATTTTCTATTAGCAATTAAACAAACTGAGACCTTAAGGTTAATTAAAAAATATCCAATGAAAATATCTCAACATTTTTAGTATCAGCCCCTAGTGTATTAGCAATAAGCTTGAAGGTCTATAATTTTAGCATTCTGTGCTTTGCGCTTAAAAGCAACCAAACAAATTTTATTAACAGTTAAAAAAAGTCCATATGTTTTGAGACCTTAAAGTATCCCATTACCTTGTAAAGACAGTCTAACACAAACAAGTCAAATCTTAAAGTATTCCATTACCTTGTAAAGACAGTCTAACACAAAGAAGTCAAATATTAAAGTATCCCATTACCTTGTAAAGACTGTCTAACACAAAGAAGTCAAATCTTAAAGTATCCCATTACCTTGTAAAGACAGTCTAACACAAATAAGTCAAATCTTAAAGTATCCCATTACCTTGGTATTGATGATAAGTGTGATTTAGAAAGTTTTAACGTTGAAATCAAATGTGTAAGGTAAATAACCAAAAGTAAAATGTCGGGACTTTTTAGGTTTTGTAAACAGTGATATAGATGAGACATTTATAAATTATACTAACGGTTAAGAACTTGTGGAAGGAATGCAAACCAACTAATAAAAAGAGAACCATAATTTTATGTGTGATTTATATTAGTCATGTTTTAAACCATCTGTGTTTTAATATTTTTATATATATAATACATTTCGAGGTTATTATTGTAGCTTTTATACCTTATTTGACTTCTTTGTGTTAGACTGTCTGTACAAGGTAATGGAATACTTTAAGATTTGACTTGTTTGTGTTAGACTGTCTTTACAAGGTAATGGAATACTTTAAGATTTGACTTATTTGTGTGAGATTTTCTTTACAAGGTAATTGAATACTTTAAG